ACTGGGGTGGCAGGGATAGGAAAGTTCTGGGGCTCACTGGCCAGCCAGTCTAGTTGAACCAGTGAGCTCCAGGCTCAGTGAGAAACTGCCTCAAAAATAAGATGGGAAATTACTGGCAAAGAGACACAGTGTCTATCTCTGGCACATGTACTCTCCTCTCTCTCTCTCTCTCTCTCTCTCTCTCTCTCTCTCTCTCTCTCTCTCTCTCTCTCTCTCTCTCTCTCTCTCTCTCTCTCTCTCCCCTCCCCTTCCCCCTCCTTCCCCAACACAGAGGCATACAAAATACCTGTTATTTTTTTAAAAAGTCACTCAGTTTGTAACAGCATATTTGTCATTATTTGTCCTCTAATAAAAATGTACTCCAAAATTCCGTGAAAACTGAGCATTAAATGGGGTCTTTGGTCTGGGAATATTGAGAATCACCCATTTGGACTATAAATTTACAAGAGAATCAAATGGCACGGTCAAACAAGTCAACTCCACTTAGTGTTTCTTTTCGCCAAAAAGCAAAGGCTAGAACCTGCATATACCATCTTGATCTATCTGAATGTCACCAACAGAACACTACAGAGTTTCCTCATCTGGCTCCAGGGATGCATACAGTGTGTAGCTGTTCACCAGCCAGCTCCTATGCACTCACACCTGGGGCCAGTTTCCCAGTGCAAGGTAGAGAAGATGGCATTGCTAAGTACAAGGACGATGTTTGAGATTCTTGCAAGCCTGATCCTTGGGGACCAGGTGGTTTGGTTTTATGTGTAAACTAACAAGGATCTACCACAGACATGATGGAAATCAAGTGAGGTCCTCTGTGTGAAGGATCTAGAACTCTTGGAACAGAGCTGTTCTATGTCGCCCTCTTTCTCCTTCTCTGGAGTATCTCTTAAAGCAAGGAACATGAACTTATTCACTATTTTAAGTGATTTACATCTTAAGATTATAGTTATGAAAAGATAAGATTGTCAGCAGTAATTCTGGAGTTGCAAGTTAGAATTGTGATGTGTCTTTCATTGACTGGAAACCTCTCCCATGTGTCATGTCATCCAAGCAGCATTGTCAGCATTGTCTCCCTTAGCCCTGGAAGGCTCTTCCTGGTCACTCACTGATAAGGACAAATACTGAACTTCAGCCTGTATTAGTTCCTCCAGCATTATAAATATGTCCTGGAGCAAAGTGAGACATAGCTTCTCACCAATTAGTTAAGAAAGAATGATCTAGAACCCCAGACCCAATTCTAAAGGCTCATTGTATCACATGTGTTGCTTATACATGTAATTAAGTTCATTTTAAATCACAATGCTTTTTAGCAGTTGGATTCTCAAGTGATTCTGTAGTCACTGACATAGGACAGCCAAAGAACTTCTTTTCTTCCCTCTAAATTCAATTTAGGCATTATGTTACTCAGTGAAACCAATTCAGATGCTTTAGAACAAGTAGGAGGTGCAAATAATAAGAGGGGATTAAGTGCTGAGCACTAAATGAACTTCCAGCAGCAGTATATCTAATTCTGAACACTGAACATAACATTACTCTAGTGCAGAGGCACAAGAGAACTCAGAGTTCAAATGCACTTGGACTCAAGGTCAGAGACCAAGAACTCAGAAAAATTTTGCTATTTGAAGCTTAAGAATTTTTTCATGATGTCAAACTCTCTACATCTTTCCTAGGGAGTTATCACATCTGCTGCCTGTGGTTGGTGGGACAGTGCTGCTGGGGGGTGGGGAGGGTGGAGGTTTACTGAGACTTATGTAAAAGCTCTGGATTTCTTACTCATGCCCGGGCATCTCCTCTTTAGTACTGGACTGCTGTAAGCATCCATGCCCATCTCCTCCTTCTAGCTCTTCCTTAACTGGAAACACCCCATCTCCTCCTTATCTGCACCCAGCTCTGTCTCTCCACTTCCCTACTTACACCAAAGGCTATCTTCAAGGATGGGGAAGCCCCATCTGCTTTTTACAGACTTCCCAGAATTCCTCTGACTCTTCTCTAGAATCCCCTTGTGCTGGTGTCTAGACTATTGAATCTGTATATATAGTTAATGAACTGAGGACCGGTGGGAACATTCCTCCCGGGGAGCAGTCACTTTTCTTTTCTTTGGCACAGGACATTTCCCTGTGTCAAAGCATGTCACAAATGTTTATTAAAGTGTGGCCGCTCGACAGAAACCTATGTGTCGTCAGTGTGTTAGATGCTGGCTTAAGCAGTGGGTTTGACATTATTCTCTTTGTTCAGACTGTTTGCAGAGTTGGATAGTTGGGCTAGGTTAATATTTACAATGTTCTGATGAAGATACCCCCACAGAGGACATATGCCTCTCCTTCACAGGACTCCCTGTGTCTTTGCCATCTAGTTTCATGGATCTGTTTGCCTTCAGCCCTTTGTGAAAAATGTGTGATTTCTCCGCTCTTCATTTTAAGAAACGAACTCTTAAAATATAGTGTTTCCATACTACCTGCTATCTAGAGTTATTTACGATTGCCAAAAACTTTGAACTTATCAACCCAGTTTGGCTCTTATTCTTCATTGTGCATTTGCTATGGAACAGGGGAGCAAGTTAACAGACTCCTAGAATCCAAAGGCAGATGGTGTGTTAACTAATTAGAGAAGGAAAGCGACTGTCTTCCTGCCTTATGAGCATCAAGTTGAAAAGAATGGAAAGATGAGAGAAAACTAAAGGGCAAGCTGAAGGGATAAACTGTCCATGCCTTCCCATTCTGATCACTCAGACTTGAGCACCCAAGACAACCTGCAGTTGTCTGGAATATCCGAGAATCTCCCGAAAACCTATGGGAAGGGCTCAAAGCTACAGTCACTCGCACTACTTTGTCCCCGTGTTAATTTCTAATACTAAATATGGGAGAAAGTGAATTAGAATTCCCAACCCGGATAGACCAGGTAAAATTAAAGATGTGAGCGAGCAACGCTTGGCAGGGGCAGTGGTCTATATTTCTAGGAGCTGGAAGCTGACTGATCACTTCAGGAGTTGAGCCAGAGTCTCTTTCCAGCAAGGCATTTGGTTAAACTTTCCTTTGCTGAACTCTTACAGAAAAGACCAACAAACTACAACTTAAGTGCCAAATTCATCTGGTTCACTAAAATCTACTAGGGACCAACTAGATTTCCAGCCATTGTTGTGCTTGGCTTTTTCAGTACTTTGAAGTTCAGCAGTCACCCTGAAAGTGGATGGCATTAACCTCATTTTACTGATCTATAACGGAGTATGTGCCAGGCTTCAAACTTGAACCTCTCAGAGCCATTTCTACCATGGCACGGGCTCCTAAGCCTGCAGCATTTCTACCATGCAGCATTTCTACCATGCAGCATTTCTACCATGCAGCATTTCTACCATGCAGCATTTCTACCATGCAGCATTTCTACCATGCAGCATTTCTACCATGCAGCATTTCTACCATGGCACGGGCTCCTAAGCCTGCAGCATTTCTACCAGGCCATGGGCGGGCTCCTAATCGTGCAGCATTTCTGCCACAGGCTCCTAACAGTGCAGCCTTCGGCACAGAAGGACCCATGCTGGGCATTCTCAAATGTGAAGAATCAACACAATGAATGTCAGAATCAAAGCTGAAATATATTCATTAAAGTGGAAATTAGAGGTTTAAAGTAATATAAATCAAAAGAGAAAGCTTTCCACTCAAGAAGCACGAGGCTGCACAATAAAGATTAATAAAGTCTGCCTGACAACAAATAAAGGGTGACCTTTTCAGTCAAGTGATGTGTTTATCTCGGTTTTGGTTACTCACTAAGGAAAAGTATGCCCTGTTTTCTGAGCACCTATGTGCACTGCAGGGATTAACAATTTCAACCTCCCAGCAGCCAGCGAAACAGATGAAAACTCCCTTTAAACCTTTCGTTTCTTTACTGTCTTCTCCTTTTCCTTATTTTTGGGAGGAGGAGTGAGTGGGATGGGCTCCATATGAAAGTTTTAGATTTCCTTTGCAAAAAGAAGAATTCTTGCATGTAATCTCAGAAGTTGGAAGGTTGTTGGCTAGGGCAGTACTAATGAGGCACAGGTCCCAAGAAGCCATTGTCAGCTCAGTGTAAACTTGCTGACAGACACAGGATGTTACCTCCAAACACGGGGAGCTTCCTGACACTCAAGTGGCCAATCAAAACCTGGCTTCTGCCAGAAGCAGGGTGTGGACAGTATATTGAAATTGACTGGAGGGCAGACCACAGAATTAAAATACCCTTCTGTTATCTAATTATGCTCTGAAAGTTATTAAGAAAAGCAGAAGAAAAAGGTAAAATCTGAAGTCACTATTTTTTTCCAGAACCATTCTGCTATACTTAAATAACATTGTTTCCCATCTATGCATACACCATAGCTGTATCAGGAACTGTAAACAGATTATCCACTTGCTGCTGGACGATTTGCCATAATAGAAGTAGAGTCTTCAATCCCCTGAAATTTTACCTAAAAAATCTCCATCTGATATATACATGCCGCAGTTTGTGTGGCTATTCACTAGTTTACAACGTTATATTACCTCCAGTAAAGGACGGGGAGGGGTCAGACCGGAGACAGAGAGAAACCACCTGCTTCTCAGAGCCTTCTCTAGCGGCTGGGGATCCCACCCGTCTACTCTTTCACTTCTCATTTGCGCCATTTCCCTTCAAGATTCAGCCTCCCACGGCTTCCAAGAGTACAAACACAACCACTGGGCTCATCATGTGCCACGCAGCACAAGCCTGACAGGTTGGCATGTGCGGGAGGTGTCCTTTACCTGAAAGCCTTCATTCGCTCTTCAGGTGGGAAGGGAGCCTGCATCTCACAGTGAAATACTGTAATTTGAGGGCTCCGAACAGAATTGGGAGGGTGAAGGTAATAGTCCAATTAAGGGACCTAGTATGTGAGACCTTGTCCAGGACAGCTGGCTGTGAAATGTTAGATACAATTAACTCTTGCAACTCCAGCTTTCCTGGGTTGGAAAGTCAAAAGGTCACAGCAACTGAGCAGGACACCCACCTCCCAGAAGTTCACTTACCCTACACAGCGGCGGGGCAGCTGCGCAGCCATCGCAGGACTGCATGGCCTCAGTGTGGATGCTCAGCGGGCCTCAAGCCCCCTGGCCGCAGCCGGAGCTCCCGGGGCGGGAGCTGTTCCGGGAGGGCGCAGTGAGGGGAGGGCGCTGGCGTCAGGGCGGGAGCCGCAGCCTGAATAGGCGCAGCGTGGCCGGGCTGCAGGGACAGAGTCTCCTCCGCTTCGCGAACGCCAGCTGGGTCAAGTTAGTGGCCGCTCGCAGAGGGCCGGCGTCCTTCGGCGGTGCTCTCGGCTCCTCCTGCAGCCCGCCCGCCCTACCCTGCTCATGGGTTCGTGGCCCGCGCCCTGTCAGTGGTATCCTGCAGGTGGAGCCAAGGGAAGCTCCCGAGCACGCCCTCAGCACCGCCAGGGGCTCCTCCACTCAGTTGAGTCCCAGGCACAGCCAGAGAGAACTAAAGGGTAGGGCCACCGCTCGCACTCCCATCCCCTGCAAGCTATCCACGAGGCGCCACCTCCCTAGAGAGACGTAGACCACCGAGTAGGAGCCGCTCCATTCTCCTGCCCCACCTCCCCGGAGCCACCTGGGCCGGGACATCACCTGATCTCGTGGCGCGTGGGAGCAGGCGCGGCTCTGCTGGTGCTGCAGCGTGGCGCCGGACTCCGCAGGTGACCTCCTGCAGCCTGGCCCTGGCTCTCCGGGCGGGCTAAGGCTCCGCTACAGCTCTGAGGCTGGCTTAGCAGTCAAATCTGATTTGACCCCAAGCGCCACACCTCGCAGCTCCACCCAGCAGACTCCGCCCGACCAAGTACTTGGCTCCGTGAGCATGCAGAGCAAAAGTGCCCCGGTGTACTTACGGATTTGAAAATGCACTTTTCTATCCTTCCATACAGAACAATCCATATGCTTGTTTCTCAAAACAGAACATCCTGAAGGACCATTTTCTTACTCTTTAAAGAAGCAGGGGCCTCCAAACAGGGCCATTATTCAGTTAGACCTCGCTGTCACTAGTTCCACGTGATGCCTGAATCTGTCTGCATGATTCCCGAGAGAATGTAACAGCCCCAAGAGAATAACAAAAGAACCATTATTTCATCCTGTTCTACAATGGATTGTCAATGCAAAGCTCATGCCCCAAAGGACCTCAGTGATAACTCTTCTGGCTCCTTACGTGACAGAAGATGCTGAGGCTGAGTCCTGCCTTAGGAAGGGGAGAGGGTACAGAAATAGGTGGGTTCCTAGGAGTTCACAAGCCATCCAAACGGTAAACTTCCGGTTCAACCAGAGACCCTGTCTCAAGGGAATAAGGTCAAGAGCAGCTGAAGACACCACCCAAGGGTGCACACATCCCTCCCCGCCACACACAAGAAAAGCCTGCCGCCTATAGACTAACACTAGCCGGGCTCTTTGAAGGTCCGGTTCAGTTAAAGAGCAGAGGGGTTGGGAAACCCTGCCAGGTCTAGCTCAGCTTTAAGTGAATCAGGCGTTTTTAGTTTTTGTTCTGTGTAAATTAGCTTAGATAACTTTGACCTGCAAATACTGTAGCTCAAATCTGTCATTTACTGTAACAAATGGCATCAGAGTGTGAATATAGTTAAACTGATAAACAATTATTTTAAGGTATAAATTCACTGTATCTAGATGGTGTATGTATTTACATACATTTCAGCTAAATAATTGTGATCAAATGCAAGGTTCTGCCTTGAGACTTAATTCTTGTGTTATTTGCTTGCCCTCAGCTTGAAGGTTCAGCCAGCCTATGTTGCTATCCCTCTAAGATATTGCTAGGCTTTTCCCTGAGTGGCCAGTGTCAGTCTTTGATGGGCTCCAGGAAAAAAGAGAAAGAAAATTGTGGTTACATTACTAGGGCAGAAGAAGAAAATGGATAAGAATGGTCTCTAGCCTCCATCATAAAGGAACTCCAGACACACACATACACAACAATTTCTTTGTATCAAGTTGGAAGATGTGTGTGTATGTGTGTGTGTGTGTGTGTGTGTGTATGGATAGGTGTGCCCATGAGTGCATATAAGTAACAAAAGTCTGTGTCACATGTCACCTCTGCTACTCTCCACCTTCTATTTTGACACAGGGTCTTTCACTGTATCTGGGGCTGGAGGTATTGGCTAGATTGACTTGTCAGCAAGCCCCAGGGCTCCTCCTATCATCAGCCCCCAGCACTGAGGGTACAGGCACACTGCCACACCTTGATTTTTACATGGTGCTCAGGATCCTAACTCAGGTTTCATGTTTGCACAGTAAGCACTTTACTCATTAGTTACTATTTCCAATGTGTGTTACCAGCCCTGGCTCAAGACCACACTGGACCATTTTTATTAAGAGTTATTCACATGTGAGAGTTATTCACACATAGCCTGGTCTAAGAATGAAGTTGACACTGTGTGAGATTCAGAGACCCTTACCCCCTCTCCAGAGTCTATTCAAGCTGGCAAGAACTGGCCCAGGTTAGATCCGGTAGGAACAGCCAAGAAAGAGTTTGTCTTAGGACTTGTGCCAGTGCCTGGGAGAAAGTCCCAGGGCTCCCCAGGGCTTAGCACAGCCAATCTTCTTGGCACACCCCTCTTCTTTTTCTGCCTTCCTTACATCCAGAAGCCCAGTTCCAAGGCAGTCTTGACTGAAGGAGCCTAACTTCTGTTGGTTGGTTTTGGTCAATATGATGAATGGAAAAGACCCAAATAACAGTGGAGAATATGGTGCCGTCTGCTGCTGAGGCTGGAGGATAGTCAGCATAAAATGGTCTCCAGTTGTGAACTTTTCTTACTTGCACCAAGATTCAGATTTGGAGGAGAGACCCAGATCCCTTCTGTGAGTAGGTGATAGACACACTTTGTTCAGTTCTAGATCAGGGTTTTGTGATGCAAAGCTTACAATTCAGAAGGAGAAATGGTGGTGATCCTTTAAATACATTTATTTCTTTTTAATTACATGGATGTTTTGCCTGCATGGACGCCTGTGCATCACAAGTATGCCTGATGCCTAGAAGAGGATGCCAGGTCCCCTAAGACTGGAGTTCCTGACAGTTGTGAGCTGCCATAGAACCCAAGTCTCTGGAACAGCAGCCTGTGCTCTCAGCTGCTGAGCCTTCTCTCCCGTCCAAGACACCTAAGAATGCTTCTCAACGAAGAACTGGCTGTGAGTGTGATGCGATCCATCCTTTCCTCCTGCAAACTTTAACACTCTCCCAGTCCTCCCTATTGACCCTATGCCCAAAGGGGCTTCAAATCCCAATACCAGCCTTAATCACACGGCTGTGAGGGACTTGTCTGACATGTTCACAAGATCAAAGACCAAAACATCACTTTACCCGATACTTCATAAGGGTGCGGTGCGTGTGCATGTGCGCACACATACGAGTGCTCACATTATGAGACATTAATAACACCAAACAAATATTAAAATGATCATTTTTGCCAAATATTACCTAGATGTCTCATTGTGTTACGTGGTTTGTATTTTTCTTGTGGCATGTGTGCTTTTTAATATGATTCAGTTTCCATTATCTCACTGCCTAAAGTGGTGAAAAACAATTTGTCTGATGTTACCAAAATAATCGAGTCTCTCCTTGGAATTCTGTTCTGTCTGTGCCCTGTGCCAGGACAGGGTGAGTCTCACTGTGGCCATTGGTTAAGAAAACAGTTTTCATTCTATTAAAGATTTCTCCTCAGAAATCAAATCACCTGCCAAATATTTAATAAATTGGCATTTGAATTTCAGGTAATTCAGTATAAGAAACTGCTTGCATATCCAGAAACATTTTATGGCTTAGGATTTGTCACTTAGTTGCTAACCTCTGATAGAAAATGAGTTCTTTAACAGAGATAGTAGTTACTAGTCAACACTATACTTTCAGGGACCATTTCTACAGTTTCTTACTAATGATAGTTACTAGTCACTGAGCATCTATAAGTTAGGAACCACAGTAGCCTTCTACATGCTATCTCATCTAACCCTTTGATAATAACCCTGTGAAGTATGTATCGTTTTGTTTCAAATAGGAGAGAATGGGAAATACAAGGCAATTTCTGATTTGAGGCTGAACTTTAAATTTCAATCCAGGCATGAGTCCAAAGCTGAAGAACCAGCCTGTCTCCATCTTGGGCTTAAAAGCCATCAGTAAAGGCAGACTAAGTTCACTCCTGTTTATGATTAAACCTCTGTTTCTCAAGGATTAGACTATGTCCCGAGTGTAACCTTAACTACCAATGGTTCTGTACTGCCTCCTCCAGGAATGGCAATTGTGCCTTAGTTTCAAAAAGTTGTTTACAACCACTTTGTAACCCTACCTTTGTTTCAAAAGTTTATATGACCACCTATGACTACCTTGTTATGACTACCTGTTATTATGACTACCTTGCTACTCCCACCTTGCGACTATGTCGTTGATTCAGGAGGGACTAACTTGCCATGGTTGTGTTCTGTTCCTAAAACCCTGACTATTTTGCCCATCAAATCCCCTATTTGAGAACCCCTTACCCCTGAGCTATAAAAGACTTGTCTTCCTCACATTCAATGCAGATCTCTCAAACCCTTCCTTAGGGAGAGAAAGCCCATATACAAGAATGAAAAAAAAGTTTGCTTAAATTAATTTGGCCATGGTGATTTGGGTTGGTGATCTTTCTCCTCCCATCTTTGGAATTAACAATGCTTCTTTTGTTGCTTTCCAATGCCTCAGCCACCCTCTCAGTGGCCTGTTAAATCTGGCCTTGGGTCTAAGCAACAGTCTCTCCCATCTAGCTCCTAAGTCCCTCCACTCACATGGGCAATATCTCCTGGCCAAGTTACTAGGATTTGAGAAGATGGTCTGCTCCCAAAGCTATTGAATCGTTAGTGGCTGGGCACTTGGTTTGAACAGTTCCATGAAGCACTCTAAGCCAGGTGCAGTGACACATGCCTACAAACCCAGGACTTGGGAGGCTGAGGGAGAAGGATAGGAGCAAGTCCAATCCCAGGACTTGGGAGGCTGAGGGAGAAGGATAGGAGCAAGTCCAATCTTGGCTCCATATTGAAGCCCTGTTTTAACAAAACAAGACAGGATAGAACAGAACAGAAAGTATCTGGTAGCTTTCTGTTGCTCCTGTATTTCTGAGCAAGGCTGTAGTCTATGGGTCTTGTATTTGGAATTATATCAGCAGTGATGTGGAGCCAGCCTCTGACCTACAAGACAGTTATGAGATGACTAAAGAATAGCTGTAAAGAAAATAATGGTCAAATGTCTAACAGGGATAAAAACAATCATGCATGGTCAGTGAGAAGTGAGAAA